TAAATAGATTTTGATAATGCTTTACATGGAAGAAAACGCGCAACACTTCACAAAAAAATTCTAAAAAACCAAATGCACTTCGAATGGGCTCCAAAACTGCATACTAAAAATTTTTCTAAAAATTCTGAATAAAAATTTTGAAATTTTTTTTGAATTTTTGTTAACTTTATACAAAGTGTAAAACTTTGGTTTATATTATAGAATGAACTATATTTTCATAAATAATTAATGTTTTCCATGAAAATAATTGTGTATATTACATTAGAACAAGGTGTACACTTTCATTTGTTGCCGAGTGTATCTACAACGGCTGCTGAGTTCAATAGTCCTCCAACAATATCCACTACATGTTGCTACATACATACATATGTATGTATTTGTTATTTGTTGACCCAAAACCTTTGCTTAAATAATACAGATGTACATTCACAACGACAAAGCAAATATTTGCAATGTATTGCATGTATGAGCATGTTCAACTTACGCATCCCCAGTAGGCTAATAATTATTTGTTGCACAATTACTGTACTTTATGCGCAGGTTTTCTCTCTTTTATTTATTGTTCAAGTTATAGTTTTTTTTTTTTATTGTATATTTGTTTTGCTCATTATAATCGCATTCAAAACTGTTGTGGCAATATATCTACCATTTCCCATCCATTAGTAATTTGCGTCACAAATTGTCGTAACAATCAGTATTTTCTTATATACGACTTAACTGTGTACAAACATACATACATATACACCTCTCAATTATTTATCTAAATTATACTTATATACAGACGGCACATTGCTATGTAAATGTGTAGGAGGTATGTATGTATGCACTCACTGCCCTTATCTATGTACACACGGTCGGGATGAGCAGGTTGTTTTTTTTTTTTAATTGAAAGCTTAAAATGATTGATATAATAAATTAGCTAGACACATCTGGAAAAATATCGCTTTCAGAAAAAAAAAAAAAAATACATTTGTATTGCCACCGTAATTAAATTGGGAGAAAACAGAATCAAAGTAGAAAACCAAGCAAAGCGACTGAATTTGAATTAAATTTCTGGTTTCTGTTTTTATTATGAAAATTGCTGCATATTGGCCGAGTCCACTAAAGCCCTACAGTTGTTTCTTTTCTGTGCCAAAAGAAGTCAAGTCCTTCTCCACTTGGTCTTCCCATCGCAGAGGAGGTTTTCCTCCTTTTTTCTCTGTTGACAGCATCGGACCCGCACTTAATACACTCAGAGCTGGAGCATTTCTCTCCGTTCATTGGCTATGATCAAGCCAGCGGAGCCGCTGTACTTTAATTCGCCCTTCTAAGAATGAGGGTAACACCAACAACCTACAGCTCCTCAGAACCTCCCAGTCGTTGCTAAACCAAATATTCCGCCAGTTTCTGAAGGTAGCTTCGATGGCTGAAAATGAGGGGGCTAACACTGCTGGCAGAAGAAAGAAAAAATTACTTGGTTTGAGCCTTCACTAGCCAAATGGTCAGATATTTTATTACCAGCTATCCTGGAATGACTTGGCACCCACCGTAAAACAACCTCCACATATTTTCTATCACGTAGTCAATAACCTAGGGTAGAGCTTCATAAAGTGGGTTCCGCGCAACCCAAGGGTTTTTAGGAGTCGCTACTAAGTGATTCGTATTGATGGACTTGTCAGTTTTGTTATAAATTAATCTCAAAAAATTGCCCAAAGAAAAAAAATTAAAAAAAAGCTTTTTGAGTATAGTAAATCCCAAGTAACTCTCCGCTTAACATGGGTTTCTTGGTATTTTTCAAGACAGATAATTATCTGTAAATATCCGCTTTTTTAGAATTTTGATTGGTAATAGTAAAAATATGGTTGATTATGCTCTCAAAAAAATCTGTGTGCAAGATTAAAATTGTTGGTCAATATCGTAGGCTCGCCCAAGTCCATCAAAGTTCAGAAGGTAAAAAAAAATTTTCTTTGCTTATTTCGATTCTCTACAAAAATGGTCCGCATACACAATTATGTAGGACTAATACTTTTGAAGATAATTGCAATTTTAGTAAAAAAAATGTTTTTATTAATTTATGTATTAATTTTTTATTTTTTGAGCACATTGAACTTTGATGGACTTGGACAAGCCTAAGATATTGACGAAAAATTTTCATCTTTCACACAGATTTTTTTGAGAGCATAATTAACCATATTTTTGCTATTACCAATCAAAATTCTAAAAAGCAGATTTTCGCCTACGCTAGTGTAGAACTTAGGAAAAATTAAGAAAATGCTGCACTTATTCCGAAAAAAATTTGAACAAATGACAGTCTTTGGAGCTTAATATTACATGATGAATCAATTTGGCGATGTCTTATCAATTGATATGAAAATTTTTCAATAATAATATCAAACTTATCAGATTAAAATTTTTTCAAACCCAGATAGCGACCCCTAAAAATTATTTCAAAATTTTGAAATTTTCGTGAATGTCCTTATTTTGTATGTAGACCAAAATAAAAGGGTGCCCTATATAAAATTTAGATGTTGATTTTTTAAGGACAACCCTAGTAGGGTGGGCCAACTTTTTTTTTGACTATGCGCGTGGAGCATAAGAGGATTCTACGTGTAATTCTAAGAAAATTAAATTTGTCGAAGAAACCATGGGTATAAAATAAATTTGGAGGTTACCAATTGCGAAAATAGGGTTTATTTTCCTTTGTATTTTGACGTGGTGTCGTAAAGCAATGCTTAAATTTTTTGATTTATGGAGTTTTTGGTATAAGAACTTCTTAGCCCTGAAACCGTTAGCAATGCTATATAAAAGATGAATTAGTCCGGTAGGTGGCGCAAGAGTCGAAATATTTGGAATATCTGTATTTGTGGTCCAATTTTTTTTTTCATACTTAGAACGTTGATTTGATTACTTAAATTGAGAGAAATAACGCCACAAAAAAATTAGCCGTATTAAAATTTTTATAACCAACCTACCTCCTACAGTTCAAAAAGTTCACAGCCAACTTTCATAAAAGCAAACAACTAAATATTAGAAGTATAACGAAAGTACAAGTATTAAAAAACTTTTCATATCTCTTCGAGCAAGATCGAAAAATATTTATTTGGAAGCCATGGAACACTAATTGACTTTAAATTGACATTTAACGAGGCGAAGCAAGGAAAAATGTCAATTACGAAAAAACTAATAAGGAAATTGAACTTTCAGCGCATATCCTGCAAAAAACTCAACTCGGAAAGTTGGCAAGCAACCGCTCAACTCAAAAGTGAAACGATATTTTAAGAGGAAATTCGCGCTGACTGCTCTTTTCCGTTGCTTAATTGAGCGCCTTTTTTGTGCAGCATCCTTGCACTTTTGCGATTATCAAACTTTGTTTTGCACTTAGCAGATTTTTTGTTGCTGCGCAAAACGAAAAAACACGATATTTGTTTTAATTAATTTGTATTTCACTTTGTCTTCAAGTGAGAGAAAAACAATAAAAAAAAACAGCATGAAAAAGGAAGGAAAATTAAATTATGTCAGTAAATATGAGGAAGGATGGCAAAAGGTTGGAATTTAAAATGTGAAAGAAAATCGAGATTATTGAATAACTAATATGACAATGGAAAAGTTTTGCCTTTTAAGCAGCCAGACACCAAGGTAGAAAAGTTGTTACACTTTGTTTTTTTTAGAGAGCGCAGTTGCCAGCCAATTTGCACAGCAGCCAACAGCTGCGGTGTCAGCTGGAGGTATAACGCGTGTCTCAACTGCGCCATATGCAGGCCATTTAGAGCAACGTGCCGGCAGCGGTGCGCAGTGCCTGGTGATTATGCTTGAGATTGTTGACTTCGGATGAGTTGGCCTTATGGCTGCTGTGCTTGGTTTCTCTTTTTCATATACATTTTTTTTTATATTCCATTTTAATATTTCATACTTCGCTAAGCCATTATAATATGCACTTTGCATGCCATGCAGCTATGCGACAAGCGAAGTGGAAACTACGCTACTGCAGCTTTGTTGCGTACAAGAGATTTTGTAAAGATTTCCCCCCAAACCAGGGTTGCCACTTTGGTAAATGATTGCCAAAATTGGTAGAACAAATTTGGTTGGGTAAAAATGTAAATTTCTTTCCATTTTGGTAGATTTTGGTTTAAGTATTTTCTTTGAACAACAAATAAAACTTTTCGTTCCCGCACTTTTTTTCGTAGTTAAATATCTTTGTTTTATACATTTTTTTCCAAAAGTGTGGTCTACTTAAAATTTAAATTATTTAAATAAAAAGAAAAAATGGACAGGGATCTAATTACATATTATGATTGTTGGCAAAAAATCAAAAAAAAAAAATCAACGCCAATTTTTATAAACGGCAAAATTAGCGGAAATTTTTAGCTGTATATTGTTTGTTATACCTAAATTCCTTGGGCTTGAAACTGCATACCCAGAAATGCTCAAAAAATTCAGACTAAAAAGTTCGAAACTTAGACGACAATTTTTGGTCTGGTTAAAGCACAAACAATATTTTTATACAAAAAAAGCAAAAAAATTTTTACTTGCAAATCATTGTGAATATAAAAAAATCACCCAGCGCTTTGTTGAGTCACTGAATTTGTCTATGATAACTCCAGTTGAAATTTTTTCAAATGTCGAAGTTTTGTTGATGCCTTAGTTTCATAACTTTCGCTTTTGGTTGAAGAAAACATGGTCGCAAATACCATATAATTAGTGAAATAAAAAGTTCCTCATTACAAATTTTTATTTTTTATTGAAGTAACTAAAAAACGATAAAAACTATTTAAATAACTAAAAAAAAGTTATTGGTAGCTATTTTCCAAATTTGGCAGATTTTTCTCAAGTGGATGGCAAGTATTTTCTTTTCGTCAGTGGCAAGCCTGCCCCAACACTTAACTGTTTTTTGTTTTTTAAGCTACAACCAGGCCAACTCCACAGCAGTTCGCATTAAATTCACATTTAAATTCCTTTTTAATTCTAATTCCTTGCTCTTTATTTACATTTTTTTTCACACTTTTTCTCTCCTTCCCTTACAGCTGTCCGTTGGCATCGAAAATGGCGTACTCGAGTCGTACAACTCCGATTTCGAATTACAATTCAGTCATCCACTCAAGCATATTGTCGGCATGTGCCGTATCGTTCACAAGCAGAGCAACGCAAAAAGCGCCGGCAATGGGTTTCTTCAATTGAAGGCTTTCACTAACGGTGGCAACAGCAGCAACAATACGAATGGTTTTAAGTCAAGCAATACCACTGGTGGACCTCTGACCACCTCCACTTCGTATGGTTCACTCTCTTCGAGTGCCGCACTGCGTGAAAGGGAACGCGAGCGCGAGCGAGAGAGTGCTAATGGCGCAGAGGGTGGTGCAAATGATGTAGCGAATGGTGGAAATGCAAATAATTTCATGGAATTCCTTGGTCCCATCACCGGACTGGTGTACTTGATGAAGGATCCACGCGATCCGCTCTTACATATTTATCTCTTCGAATGTGAAGCTGTTGAGGAGGTAAGTTTGAAAATTTAAGATTGAAAAGTATTAATTAAGCTTAAATAGTACTTAAGTTAGCAAATAAGTTTCTCTGCTCTTCATTTTGCATTTGTGGAAATCTTAAAAAAAAAAACAGTCCACTTAGTTGCGGAAAGTTTTCTGGTTTAAAAGTCTGTTCTAAAGCCATAGAGTCTAATTTCCAATACAGCGTGAATTCCTACATAACTATGCTACCTCTTCTCATCTATAAATTACCGAATTTCCTGTCAACTTTTACCTCAAGACACCGCTTCAGTACTCAAACTCTTCAAGTGGTCATCTGAATTTTAAGGCGTATTATATGGAGACCTTTTCCTCATCTGCTTCCTCTTCAAGAAAACTTGAGTATTAACGTTTGCTTTGGAGGTTCTTACCTATTTACTGCAGCAAAACCGGTGTGATTAAATATTTGCATTTGATCTCTCAATCCCTATCTGATACGCTTTCCACACGCCTTGCATGTCTGGTGGAGAGATTGAAACCTTTTCGAGTTCAAAGTTACCGATTGACGGGCGGTGATCACAACCTGACTCTATATACATACAATACATACAAAGGTCTGAAGATCCCAGGATTGCCGATACTTTCCATTATATGTATATTAGGGCGGGTCAACTTTTTTTTTTACTATGCGCGTATAACATAAGAAGATTCTAAGTGTAATTCTAAGCAAATTTGCCGAAGAAACTTGGGGTCTCTAATCAATTTGGAGTTTGCCAAGAGTAGCTTACTTCTAGGCCGTTTTCGTTTGTCCACTTTTTTATCCTCCTTATCTTTTCCTGCATAATATCGCACAGTAGTTTGGGACTGGGTTGTTATGGTATAAGGGTCTGATGGTGGTGGCTGAATATTGCGAGAATTTAACGAACAAAACCATCAAAAAAGCGTCTGCGAAGCGTGGAAAGATAAACAAGTTCTGCGAAGCGTATGCAAGTTTCCAAAGGTGCCAGTTCCTAATTGATAAAGCCAGAGACTTATTTGTTTCTTTTTTTTTTTGCAGTGTGTAAGATCTTACAAACCGTAGCTTGCCTGAAATCCTCACCTTGACAAGAAATTGATGCAAAGTATTTTGAAGATTTCTTTCTGAAGTTAATTTAAATTAAAAAATATGTATGTTGTGAATTTTCTCCGATTACAACTGCAATATCTTTTATAAGGCGCCCGACTGCATGACTCAGTAAAATGTCATCACCGCCAAATAGCACATTTGCAATTCCGATTATAATGAATGACATTACGAAGTCCTCGTAAAAGTTTCCATTCACATTGCTGGGTGAGTTTTGTGTGGGCAGTGACATACAAAATTCAGTGCATGAATGAGGATAGAAAAATTCTAAAGATTTTATTAAAAATTTAAGTAAAAAAGAAAACAACGTAGGACTGAGTACCGACAGTTATTTTTTAATAATATTTATGTGTGTATGTAAATACATATGTACATTAAGGTGGAGTTAAATTAAGCCTTTTTAAAGTCGCTTTAGCATACCTGTAGAAAGCCGCCTTTCTATCCTAGAAACGAGGAAGCAAAATATATGTTGTAATATGTTGTCTAAAATAAAAAAAAATAAAAAATCGTGGAATCCATTGTTGTTATATTATTGTTACATATGTTTGTACTTGCAAACAAATGTGCAAACTCAATTCCCTTCAATCAAATCGTGTGTGTGTGTACAATTTGATTTTCGGGGCGTTAACCAACTTGGCGCCATTGCTTGCTTGTATTCAGTCAGCAATTTGTGTCCTAATTCAACAACAACCAGGAACTACTATAAATAAAGGACTTGCATGCAATTTACTTTACGCTCATACAAACGTACGTACCTAAATGTGTACATATCTATGTACATACATACATATGTATGTATATATGTTTGTTATGAAAACAACCCAGCCGGCAAAAGAAGGAATAAAAAAAAATCATTCTAGAAGCCCTTCTCTTAAATACTTTCTAAGCGATAGTCTTTTTTTGGTAGAATATGACTATTCTGTTTATTTAAAACTTATAATTGAAGGCTTTTTAAGCTTAAACCCTTCTGTCATCTTAGGAGATTTTTTTACAAAAAAAAAATAAAAATTTAAAACTAATTTTATTTATAAAAACTCGATTTTTTTGGAGGTATTTTCAATTGGGTCCAGTTCACCCATCTTGATATTTTTCTTAAATATTTTGGTGAAGGTCTTAAAGCATAATACATTTTACAATTTCGATGGAAAAGCAGTACCGATTTTTTTTTTTGTATTAGAGTGATGCACCATAATGTACACCCGTGGTCATAATAATAGGTATACGCCATTTTGAGCAGTTTTGACTTTGAGTTTCTTCTTTTTTTTGTATTAATGTTTATTAATTTTTTATATCTACGTCTAGCGTTATAAAAAACACAAACTGCATAAAACCACATTTCAAGCTTTGTAGAAAAAGTGAAAAATTTCAGCAAAGACGCATGGATACATACATATGTATGTATATACACCTGTTAAAAATAAGCTTAGCTAAAAAGTCAACCTTATTTTTTCATCCATGAAATGACCTCAAAATGCAAATTTTTAAACCAACTGCTTTTTCACATGTCCATTTCGCATACAAACATATTTGCCTATGCATACGAGTACATAATACATACATACCTTTTGCAGGTTCCTACACCACACCGACATGCGAATGCTTGAAAAGGCCATTTCAAATGACACCCGCTATTAGTGAGCTATTAAATCGTGTACGTGTATACATACATACATATGTATGTGTATATACGATTAATTCCACCAACTTTTATTTATTTGATATGTTTTATGCAAATAGTTGCATGTCCTTTTAATGAGCTAAATCGCTTTATAAATATGGGTCCGCAGTCTTTTGTTTAGCTTACAGAAAGAAGCCTATTAGTGAAGGTTTTGTATTTGGTTTTTCGTTTGTTTTCTTTGTCTTATGCACGACCCCTTTTCTAAAAATCTTTGAAACTTTGCTTTTCAGAGAAGTGAAAAAGTGGGTACTAGGAACAAGCTTAGCAACTAAAGAATTTTCTTAAAGATTGAGCGAAATAAAACGCATCTATATATAGGCGAGAAGGTACAAAATAATGGATTTCATTGATTTTTCATAAAAAGTGAAGTTAGCAACTTTTCACGCTAAGCTAGCGATATGTAAGTTTTATAATCAGTTTATCGTAAATTTTAAATAGTTGTATTTTATGGTAGGTTTAAATGCTTTCAGATATTGAATTTTTACTCATATTCATAAAAGTTATGATTCAATGTGAATCCCGGGATTACTTAAAAACAATCCCGAAATCCCGTGATCACAATTTTCCTCATATTTTGGCATCTCTAGCAGGTATGTACGTACAATAGTTGCTTAACTCGCTAGCGATCTGTTTAAAAATTTTAACTAATGCTTAGAATTTAGGCGAGAATAGCACGGCCATTGCACGTCACTAGCAGATTGGCGAATCGAAAACATCATAATTTTCCCAGTATTTATAGGCATCAGTACATACATACATCCACTGCTCAAAAATAAAAAAAATATGTATATTCAAAATTATTTAAATGATCACATTCGTGGTTGTACGATGAACCCAACGAAATTTTGCTTAAAACATCATTATCAAATTGCCTGAACATGCTGTGCATTGCTACATATTTGTGTTTTACTCACCACATAATCTCATTTAAAAAAAAATCTGTTTTATCTAATAAATCTCTCTTCGCTTTTACTCGGTATTTCTCTTAAGCTTACGAGCGTGTGTATGTGTGTGTTTTTAATGCACACAATAATTTTTAATGTCTATAAGATTTAGTAAAATATGATTAAGCATTTATGACGACATAAGTCACTGCATTCGCAGCTGATTTGGCAATTTCGTTGGCATATTCTTGATCTGTTGTATTTCAAAAAAAAAAAAGAACAAAAAAAAAACAATTCGGCCGGTTTTCGATTCACTATCGCAACACGCTTCAAGTTGATGGCAATGCACATTCGATGGTGAACCGGCGTCTACGTAAAATGCTGACGCAAAGTAAATAATCAAAGTTGTAGTTGAGGAATATTTTATTAAAAAAAAAAACGGCATATGTGTGCTTACATACTTATGTGTTAATGTCTCGAAAGAATGAGGAGTATGAGGGGAATGTGTGTACATGAGTTTCTCTGTAATTATTACAGGTTTGTATACATATGTATGATAGGAAAAAAATTATAAGTAAAAACTATACAAACAAATGTTATAAAAATATGTTGAGTTTAATTAATATGTAAACTTTTAAAAATAGATTAAACACTTTTAAAAATAAAATAAACATAGTTACGGTCAAAATGCGCAACACCCCGAAAAAAAATCTTTCTAGGAAATCTACTTAATTAAAAAAAATCGAAATTTTGATGAACAAATTTTTTTTGTGCAAGCTTTGAATCTTTTATTTATGCGGTTTTTGTTAGAGATCGACCCATATTTTAAATGAAAATTATTGAGAATTAATAAATAAAGTTATAGATAATTGTCATTTTGAATTTTGCTGCTATTATTTTGACCGTAACTGTATATGTCGCTTACACATTTTTCTACATGTTTAGTCGAGCTTCTCCTTTAAAATATACTCACTCCGAATGGAAAACTTTAATCTTATGAGAAACTGAGAATCGACTACTGCCCAGTTGGACTCTGGAATTCGCATAACATGGTTTTCGCCCAGCGCTCACTGAGCCAATCTGTGCGAGGACAATCCATAGGTTGTCATAGAAACTTCTTAAATGTGGCCGGCTTGCCAATTCATCATCGTCGAACTTCGACCCATCCGTGAAACTGTTGATTGGACCTTTGCTCCAGAGACTGCCACACTCCCGTTCGCCTTTTTAGGGCGATGTATGTGGAGAAGCATCCGATCAAAATTAGCTCCGATCCGTTTCTTCAGAGTTGAAATTAAGGCTTCCAAAGATTACCGAGTGCTCATACAACAAGTTGAAGGTGAAATCAATGCTT